ATGTTTTCTAATTTTTAAACTTGCAGCCACATTAACAAACTGAGGAACATGCTGCCGATATGATGCAGGGCAAAGGTGAAAGCCAAGACGAAGAAAAACGGAATGAGCCGAGAAGGAACGGCATGGGGGAATAGGAGGACAAGGAACGGGCTGGCCGACACAAGAAACAGACACCGTAAAGATTACCCACAAGCCAGCCACACTGAAACCAGTCACACGGTGGCCCGCCAGCCAGCATGAAACGGCGGCATTCCTTTGAATATCAGCAGGTTATTAAACACATATAAGCACCTGATGATATCCCCAAAGCCCGTGACCCTACGCACATGCTGTAGCCCGGGGCCTGCCTAGCAGGACGGGTTCGGGGTAAAAGATAGGCCGGCGTGTATATGGACTATATGGCGGGCATGCATGTGTACGGATCCACAGATTCCGAGAAGCTGCCGGCCTTGCAACCCAATTGGGTACTATCCCACCACGTCTGCCACACAAGCCCCAAAGAATCAACAACACATCCCATGACCCAACATTACACCAAAACCCTGCACCAACCTGCACCGTTGTGAACTCCATATTCCGGGGCACGATGGTATCAAGGTTACGCAGGATGGACCGGCCCACCAGGAGCCCAAGAGTGTCGCTCAGGGCGCCATCCAGGTTGCTCATTTCCTCGACGTGGATACCAAGCTGACATACTTCCATGACCGAAAACATAACGGCAATGAGCAGCAGTATGATCACCAAGTGTAGTACGGCAGGTACAGCGTTGAATAGCGTTCGTACCATGATGCCGACGCGACCTTGAAAAGCCAGTGTGGACAGAAGCCTGGTCAAGTATGTAGGAGAAGGAAGTAGGAGACAAGGTTGGGATGTTAAAAAAACGACGGAAAATTACCAGACACTTCACCACACACGGAGACGGAAAAAATAAAAAAAAAACAAATCAAATCCAAGCGAGACAACCCGGCGGATGGATACATCAGCGCCATCTAGCTGTGCCTCCTTCCTGTGTGGCGCTGCAGCTCCCTTATTCACCCTCACTTGGCAAGGTAAACCTTTCCTCTTGAGACACACACAGTCGCCAACCTTTTCTGCTTCTCATGCACCCGGACAACACACACACCTGCCGAATAGCAGCACCAACGTCATTGCCTGGATCATGCCATAAATTGTCCACATACGGGATAGTCCGTCCGCGTTCACAAGGACCTCCGCCAGTGCCTCCCAGTCTGCAGTCCCTGCGGGGTCATCTGGCAGCAGGTACCTGCCCGGGGTGCTGGAACTCGAGGGCAGTGACAGCCCCAACGAGTCCAGGGACGCCTGAAGCAACAAGAGGTCATAGCGCAGTGTAGGACAGCGTGATATGGACTGGAAGGAAGCAAAAGGCAAAGACGTGTGGGCCAGCATAATGAAATGAAGGGAAATTGGTTAACAGAGGCTGTTACCAATGAGAGCCAATGGTCGAGTAGTCAGGCATCCGTACCCTGTAGTGTGTACCGCTTTGCTCCGGTGCAAGGTATTAATACCCTAGCCGCACTGTAGTAGCTGGCCGCTGAAAAGGCCTCTTAAGATGCTGGGAACATGCTCTCGCGTATGTGTGCCATATTATTGGCGTGTGCCGTACTGTCTACGACAGCTACCACACGTACCTTGAGCTCTGCGCTCTGGCTGGGCTGTAGCACATCCGGATTTGTCTTGAGCGGCAGTAGCCAGCGTGCCCGGGCGCCCTCTATGTCGTCGTACACCCGGTAGTGCTGACGCGCTGAGAATACGGCTGCCTTCTGTACCATAAATGCCGTATGTTGTTACAGGGTGGTTAACTTCGCCAGCGGCCCCCTTTCCCGGGGCAGTCCCTGCTCTCCCCTGCTAGAGGGGCACCCTAATCCGTCACCCCATCCGACTTCAGAATGTATTCGTTGGGTTCGGCAACTCACCACCAGCATCCAACCAAATCTAGCGGATCAACGGCGCATCAACTTAGTTCCTGGTCAGCTCGCAAGTTGATATTATCACGTCCTACACCGTCCATAAGATGGGGGGCCACCTCCCATTTCATCACTCCTCAAACACCCGAGGAGCCGGCAGGCGGATTTGAACCCGGGTCGACTGGGTCGACCGGGAGCAGAAGTCAGGCCTTAACCTCTGCCAGCCGCCTGCCAGCCTGCCTGCCGTATATACAGCGCACGCCGTCACCAGCATCACACAGACCATCAGATCCACGATGAGGTTGCCGAAGCGGTGCCACTTCTGTTCACATGAGAATTGGAGCGGTGGGTGCTTGTATGGGCCCGGTTTTGGCTAGCTGATTGTGGGCTCCTAGGGGTTTGCTGATCCAAACGATTTGGCACAAAAATGTTTCCTTTGATGTGGCCTGGTTCAAGTACCTTAAAGCTATCATCTGCTTTTTGCTCGTTTTGTGTTCAGGGCTTTTAGGCCCGGACTTGTCTGTGTTTCGTGGGCCAAAGACTTTACATCATTTGAGAGCTGGTGTGCGCTGCCTTTGGTGTGCGCTGCCTTTGGGATGGCTTGTTAAACTGAAGGCGTGTTCAGTGGGCGTGTGTTGGGATGGGTCCACCTGGCGGTGTTCACTCCCATCCTGCAAAACTCTACTCCTAAGCGCCACACCGTCTGCCCCTGTACTTCCCCTCCCTACGTTACGTTACGTTGTTGTCTCGAGGATTCGGTGTAAGCCCCACCCGACTAAAGCTCCAGTCCGCCCCACACCGGTATGAGATACTTTCATCAGGTCGCCGCTATATAGATTCGAAGTCGTCTGAGCCCACCAAGGAGGTTCATGTTGCACCCACCCCGCCATGGTGACACACCTGTTGCGAGTTGAGATCACTGCTGCGCCATGCTGCTGCCGTCCTTGCGGTTTGCATCGCCACAACCACCACAAACACCATCGTCAGCACCCACAATGCCGCCAAGTCATGTCCAGCCACCGGTCCCAATACCTCCGCCACTATGCTGTTCGAGGATGATGATGATGACGATGACAGCGATGATGATGGTGACGATAATGATGATGATGATGATGATGGTGATGATGATGATGATGATGATGATGATGATGATGATGATGATGATGATGATGATGATGATGATGATGATGATGATGATGATGATGATGATGATGATGATGATGATGATGATGATGATGACATTGAGGAGGTGGATGAAGTTGCGTCCGACCTCCCTAGGTATGTCAGCGCCGGCAAGCCCGTGAAAGTGAACGACAGCTCTATACCGCCGTACGCACGCCACAGAAAGGACATCTTGACGTAGCCCAGCACTCTGTGATGATAGCTGAAGACCAGGAACTCAACGGTAAGTGAACGGGTGAGGTGGTCAAGGTAGTTGGAGTCCTGCGAAATGCAAGGTGAGGGCAGGTGTAAGTAGTAAGATTTGGGCAAAAGGTTGCAAGCACCGGGCTCAACAGTTGTAGTAGGGGGTAGGAAAGCTGTACAGGAGGTGACGGTTGCACGTGCGTCTGTGGAGGCACGAGCAGCAGACATGCTTTCTTTTAGCGCTCGAGACACCAGTAAGCCTGCGATGGGACCGAGAGGTACTGGTGAAGCTGTCCAAACGAACCAAATGAAAGACTATCTGAGAAACGTAAAGCTTAACCTGGCTAGCTGCAGGTTTTGCCACGAGTGAGTGCAGGGTAATGTGCTGCAGCTGGTGGTGGTGGTGCTGGTGGTAGTGTTAATGGTGGTGGTGGTGAAGCTAGGGCTTTCGACTGGGGTGTATGGGCAAGTGGTTTGGGACGTTGAGACCGTGCTCCTTGTCGAGGCGCCGAAATGCTAATCCTCGAACATCCCGAAAAAAGAAAAAGGATTGATTTTAAGGGACCTCAACCTTGGCGACAATTCATGGGACTACTGGCAATATACATGTACTAACGTTGGAAAGTGCTCTCGAGACGCTGTGCATGTATGTTTCCCCTAAAATTATGCTGTAAGGTCTGGCACTTTTACAGCTATCGGTGTTACATACAGTAGGGTTGAGAGTTGCCCTAGCAATTCATTGTTTCACTAATGCTTTCATCCGCCAAAAGCGCCTATCCGTGCTGACTCTTTCTCCCAAAACCGTCACCTGACACCATGGGTACTGATCCCATCAATCCAACGCGCCACCCGGAGGCGCACATCGCCGCCCTTGCATTTAAATGTGGCACATGCATTGCCACTACACCAGGTACCAGACTCGAACCGGACTGCAGAACCGGGGGACGATCCAAGGTGCACTCCCTATATAGATCATTCCGTCTTTGCACCACTCCAGATAGATAAGAGCTTGCAAACTCGTCGCCATGTATTCGCTTCCTTTGGAACGGAAAATATGCTATTGTCGTTATGAATAGTCGCTCATTCGCTGTTTACTATGCGCGATGTGTTTGTGCGTTCGTGTAAGAAAGCCATACCTGCAAGAAGGTGACCATGTCTTTGAGCCGCTGGGCCGTTGTCTCCGCCGGGACGAGTACCGGGAAGCCATCAGGATAGCCCTGCACCATGCAGCATGAGGCAGACAGTGATAAGGGCGGTGGGGCTGTATCCAAACACCAAAAACGTAGCATTGCGTACATGTATCCACTACGGGAAGCCGAATAATGGGGGCCGTCGAAGAACAGTGTCAGGCTTTGGAAGGGGGAATTGCTGTAGGGGTTGGTTCTTGCTGGTTTGGTTGCTGTAGGCGGGCTTGGGTTGCGGTGGTGGTGGTGCTATGATTAGGCTGCAACGTGACTTATTTAATACTAGGATGCAAAGACTCTGCAGGAGCAAGCTGCACACTGTGCACACTCCGCAACTAAAGAAGTACAAACTAGACGGAAATTAAAGCAGCCTGATGTTCATTTGGCGTAGCACAAAGCACGGGATCCCAGTTACATGCAAAAGAAACCCCAGCAAGACGCTGTCGCACGTGTCAGTGTGTACATACCGTATGCGGGACATTAGAAGTGTGCTTATGCAGTTTCTTGCCTTTGTTACCCGACCCGTGTCACAACCGGCAACAGCGACACTGGCCAGGCTGTTGCCCGTGTCTGCATGCTGTGATACGGCCACCTTAATAAAGGTTGACAGGCATGCACGGTTATCCAGTATCGTCACGCTCGTCAGCAACATTAACAAAGCTATAAAGTAGGACCCTGCTCGCTTAGCAAGAGATGATGCCCAGAAGTAACTGGGCCTAGTAAGACTTGTTATTCGGTGTGTGGTAGTATCCCTGGGCATATGACTGAATCTGCATCCGCCGATCGGTACTTTTCTGAAGTCGTGATATGACAGTGGTGGCTGGCAGAGGTTAAGGCCAGGTGGCTAGCAGAAGTAAAGGCCTGACTCTGCTCATGGAGGTCCAGGGTTCGATTTCACCTGCCGTCCCCTCGATGGGTGAGGGGTGTTGAAATGGGAGGTGGCCACCCATCTTATGGATGGTATAGGGCGTGATATTAGCAGCTTGCATGCTGAAGTTGTGGCGCCGTTGATCCGCTAACCGAACTAAGTTGTGGCGCCGTTGATCCGCTAGATTTGGTTGGATGCTGGTGGTGAGTTGCCGAACCCAAAGAGTACATTCTGAAGTCGGATGGGGTGAACAGATTAGGGTGCCCCTCTCGCAGGGGAGAGCAGGGAATTACCTCCGGAAGGAGGCCACTGGTGAAGCTGTGCCACCCTGTAACACCCTATAACACCTTATAACAACTACAACAACAACAGTGATTTCCCAGCCTATGTTCCGCACCTACACGTGGTCGCATGTGACTATGGTTTCTTTCACTTTTACACCTTTTATATCATATGTTTGCGCTTCTCTCTTATTTGACCTTTTGGCAAGCAGGAGAAGGTACTTGGGCTTACAACTCGGATAGGGAAAGTTTGCAGTACGCTACGGGGTAGAGCATCATAATAACCCCCACCATATAACGACACACAGGTCCATGCTTCCACAAATGGATATGTTGTCGTGTAGCCGGTGACCCGGTTGATACAGTGCCGCGGCTGTACCTTGCTTGTACTAAAATGCCGCACCTTGAGGGCTCTATGGTAGAAGGCGTAGGGGGCCCCAGTCGGGGCTACCTCTTCCGATTCAGAGGTGGTGTTATAATACTGTGATATGTCGGGTGCCAGCCAGCCATCGTAAAGTGTGGAAGTGGGCAGGAAAACGGCATCCACACCATACGGATGGCGGCTGTTGCGTTCTTGGCCAAAGAGGCGGCTAAGAATGCTGCGGGTGCTGTTGCCGCCCTTGTGTGACGATATGTCATACCTGTCGAATATCACACACAGGACAGTGAAAGGGCATGCAACGAGCCGGCATCTGGAGTGTGCACTAACGTTATACCACTAACGTGGTCGTAGTCATTAGCACAGTCGTGATTGTGCACGGTGAGGCAGAGAAACACAAGTAACGTGTTGCAGCACCATCACCAAGACAGAGTTGTGGAGCCAAGAAGGATTATGAGCTCGTCCCCTTTAAATCCGCTACCAATTCCGGAGCCCACAACATTTGGCCCCTAACCCGATTTTATCTTCTGTGCCCTCAAGTTGAGACCCTGAAGTCCAGATCCTAACGTGACACTGTCACATCAGTTGACTAAGGCACTGACAAGGCATGTGTGTACAAGACACCACCTCACAAATTTTAAACCCTAGAACCCATCTTCAAACCCAGATCCGTTCCTTTCCCCTTGCCCCCTCCAGACCTGTTGCAGTCGGCACTCAAGGGGCGTGCAAACCCTCTCCCTGGCCCAGCCCCTGCTGGTAAGCTACAGCTGCTGTTATCAATCGGCCGTCGTACGGCATGCAGCATCACACCACCCACTAGCGGCAGATATCGGAACAGCCGTCGATCACGACGTGGGTTGGGCTCATCCAATAAACCCAAGTCCAGTACGGCTTCTGTAGGTACGGGCAGGTAGCCAATTGTGGAGGATGAGGCTGGGTCGGAGGGGGCGGTGTGGCCACTGCGTGATATCACCAGCGTCTGGCGCCCGATGCGACTGGAGCCGCTACGTTCAGAGGTTTGCTTGCTGCTAATGCCATCACGAATAATGCCGGAGATGCTGCTATGGCTTCTGCGTTTTCTGCTGCTGCGACCGGCTATCCTGCCCGGGGTGGGCGTCGTCTTTTTGTGGGTAGCACCAGCAGTTGTGCTACTGCTACCGCTACCGATGCTCCTACTGCGATATAGGCCAGTGGTAACTACAGTAGCACGATCTGCTCCTTCATTCTTATTTTCAGCTTGTGTGGTCCCCCGGTCCCCAGCAGCTCGCAGCCCACTAGCAAGGTAACGGCTTCGTCGACTACTGCTCTGGTACCAGTTACTAATGCTGCTTTCCTCGGGACTCGGGCTGAAAGAT